AAGATTTAGAATAATGATCATTTTGATCCATACATTGGTAATGTCTGACTGGGCCTCGTGGCTCTTTATGTTCAACAAATTGGGCCCCGAGGTCAAAAAGGTTAAGAACCCCTGTTTTAGTGGAAACGACACAACTTCAGTTTCCTTCTTATAAAAATTTTAAGAGGTTTAAAGCTGTACAACTTAGGCAGTCATGGAGAGGTTGGATAGAGTGAGAACCAGCATGCTTCAGAGGAAAGTAAATTTGACTGTCATCAGCATAAAAATGAAATGTTTACATAAAATAGCACCTAGTGGCGGCAGGTACATGGAAAATAGAAGTAGAACAGAAACATTATCAAATGCTTCAAGTGTGCCTAAAACTATTGCACAGTACTTACACAAAGATGTGACTGAAAACTACACATCAGTGAGTGTGTATCTGTGACCAACCTTGTTTCCCAGGTATAAAGCAGGTGCGTTCCAGTAGTAGGCGGAGCCGAGCTGATGCACGACATCAGAGTGTCTGACGCTGAGATAGGCCGGCGTGTCTCTGTGGATGGGCCACACCGTCCCCCCCGTCTGTCCAACAAGGTGCCAGCCAGTCAGAGTGCTCTCCTGAAAACACCGCAATCAAGCAGCGAGAAGAGAAGAAGTCATTTACTTTCTATTGCACACCAGACTTTTACTGTAAACGCTGCTATAATTGGTCATTTTGTTGAAAGGGCTTTGCCAGGATTGTACACTTTTTGCTATTTTCCTGCTTTATCGAAAATCCAGGTTTCAAAACGGGGTCAGCTTTCAATTTTAGGCTTTTATGATAGTAAGTTTTCAGCAGCCTCAGTAGATGAGAAGCTGGCATGTGCAGTGATTTTCTACAGAAAAGTACAGTTTTATTATCAATTCTAAATTGGTGTAGATTTATTCCTTTCGTAGGCAGAACAAAGACCCCGCTCTCCCCATAGACACTTTCCAGCTCGTCCTGGGGGACACCAAGACGTTCCCAGGCCAGAGTGGATATATGATCAAGTCCTGGATTTTCTCCAAAGTGCCAGACTTATTTTGAAAACATTTTAAAATGCTTATTTCAAACCCGCATCTGAGACCACCGCAGCGCGGTGGGGGTTACGGTGCACAGCGCTGCGGCTTCTGAATAAATGAAAATGATTTAACACAGTTGTTTATACTTTTAGCAGCTCTTTTTATTCCACAGCTGACC